TCCGTAGGTAGTTTTGTGAACGTACTTTTTCTTTGCATTTTGTCCAAGTGCAAATGCACCTATCCGATTTTTTTGCATTGCAGAAGCATTCACTTCTGACTACGGTGACAGTTATCGAGATGAGACAACAAACCCTTAGAAGACATTTTTTCGTAAAACAAGTTGTGTGCCAGGTTGACGTTCAAAGTAAAAAATGTAAATTTCCATTTCCGTTGGTGGAGTGAGTGAGTGAGATGACACTGCTCAAGGGTTAGTAAAAAGTGCTCGTGGTGGTTTCGGAGTGGTGTCCTGATTGTGAACCTCGCTCCTGACGACCTTCTGGCCATAAAAATGCCCGATTCTTCGACTCAGTTTACAATAATTGAAGGGTTACCTTAGAAGATATTAATGTGCTGACAATTTGGACATACACAACCCCAAATCAACTTACGGGTTCAGCAGACTTAGAGAGAATGCCTCGACTTCCGCTTCTCTCTCGCTGCTTGCCAACAAAACGAACCTTTCATGATCTAAGTTAGGACAAAAGATGAAAATTGGTTTGTGTGTAACATCATACTGAGGAAAAGAGACTAGAAGCGTCTTTAAGGAGGAGGGATTGAAGCTGCTGGCGATTTGACGCGGTCATATACGTGATGTATGCTACTCGTACAACTTAGCATTGAATTCCAAGCAAGATTTGCAGTGTAAAAGACATCATCTTTCACCAACTATTGCTTAACAGTCACTGCAAATACTTCAGGAAGTTAAGGCGGTAAATCCTATGGCCCTTCCTTTTCAAATTTCAGGCTGTTTCGTTCACTTCAAGACAGTTGGAATGCCAGAAGAGGGGTCAAAGTTTATCAAACGACACACTCTGAATAGCGTTCAAGTAGATTCGGCAGGGAAGGGAGTCAATAACTGCAAAATGTTCGGAGTTGATGCAGTCGGGGTTGTTTCGAGACGAATGTGAACTTTTGCAATCACCGCATATTACATTACTTGCGTGCATTTTTGGCCGGAAATGATGAATTTGGCCAGGTGTAAGAAATCGGTGTTTAAATCGAATTGTCGTGTTTGTGATTTTGGAGCAGAGGAGTGTTTGGTACCAGAAATGACAAATCGACCCAATAGGCATCTCATTCGATATCCTTTACGCTAAGTGCAAGACCTGTCATTTTTGGGGTTAACCGATGCCACACTTTTACGTCGTCCTCTTTGTTAGCTCAACTTCGCATTACCTGTCATTTGCATGTTTGTTACGTATAATTTGAACGAGGCTTCGCCTCAGATCACTGCACTTAAATCGTGAGTACACAGGGAATCGCTTCAGCGTCCGAAGTTTATTAGACAGAGGAGTGGATGACCAGGGGGATGTGGACATGGGGGTGAGTTTGTAGTGGACTGACAGCCGCCCCGCGCGAGTGTGCGTGCATGAAGGCCCGTGTGTAGCGATGACTCATCCCCTTTTGTTATTGATTTTTGTCAGCATTCGCCTGTTACGCACGCGTGCTCATGCGCACACAAAACCACTTGGCTGGTTCGACTCTAATAAACGGTCGTGTTCTCTGTCGCCTCATTTTTCCTATCCTCGGGTAGCTACGGGCTGTTAACTAGAGGGTTGTAAGGTAGTGCTAAATCCTCTAGTCACTACAAGTTCTTCAAACTGGTTACTTGCCGCTGACTCAAAAAAAAACGTTGAGAGGATCAATAGACGTGAATTGTGGCGGTTCAGCACAATCTTCACTCTGGACGAAATAAATTTTCCCAACAGGATCGTGGGTGCGATCAGTATTCGTGATTCGTCTTTTTTGCGGTGATGGTCGAGACGATTTTATCGTTGTCGGTGCGGACCAGACAGGTGGTTGAGGTCGAGAAGTGGGCGGGGTTCCTGTGAGGTGTTACCCAATGGGAAAACGAACTAAAAACGTCAAGTATGAGGTCATAGGGTTGGATCACGATTTGTGGGCGTGAGACTCGAACCATGATACGGCTGGACCACGTGTCTATACGTGTGTGAACCCATTTGATGGCATTTGTTGATAGTAGAAATTACCTGTGTGCGAGAACCAATGAAATACAAGAGTGACTCATATCCACGTCGATTATTGCAAGCATTTAACACCTATGCGGCGAATGTGATTGGTTAAATTTGTGTTGACGGGACACAAATACCGGCTGGATTTCCGTGTGCCCCGTCTATTTGGTCAACTTTTTCCGAGGTGGACGGATCGTGGAAAATGCACAGAGTCACACTAAGTTGAAGCAGACTTCAAAAACAAAAGAATCTGGGGCACGTGAAACTACACCCTAAACACCAAACCACACCTAGCAAAGAGGGCGGGGTCTGTGTTTGGTGGGTGTGCGCTCGTGTGTGTCATGTGACACAAGAACACTTTCAAACACACTGTGCTAAATACAAGTCGGATCTGCACACGTCTGGCGTGCAGGTTTGTGTATTTGTGCAGCGCGCTTGAAGCCGACGCTTTGACGAAGCTACTTTGAGCGAAGAGTGTCAGCAGGGAAGGGTCCCAGGCACGCAGCGATGCTTGTCTCACCTAATGCACGCCATTCCAATTCACGATAGGTGAGCAAATGAACAGCAGTTTTGTTGGCTCAAAAATATCCCAAAGAATCCTGCAAAACACACCCAAAATGTCCACTTCAAGTCTGGTGAAGCGTTAGCCACTCAAGACTGGCATAATTCACCTCTCAAACGGGTGTTTTGAAACAAAATTCAGAAAAAAAAGTCTTCTAGAATCAGTTGTGGACGATAGACTCGGAAGTCATTAGCATGAGGTTTTCTGATACATTTTTTCGTGGATCGTGGATAGTGTCTTGTCATGGTTAGGAAATGGAGTTGTACGTAGGGTTGTAGGCACGCCTTTTTAAGGTCCGACTGTTACACCCACAAGGGAATATACGAAGACGTGCTTGCATGCTTAGTCGTAGCGAATGCTCACGTTGGGGTAAGAATCCATGAATGCACACCCAGACGAGTCCACACAATCAGTGGTAACACTGAGAACGAAACAGAGGGAGGGGGTTGAACACGCCTTACGAGCATTGTAAGCGTCTGATCGTGAAGGACGCAAATTTACCCCATTCAATACGGAGTGGTGTGTTAAAAAATACTCAGACAGTCATTGAGGATGCGTTAATGTCAATGCCTCTACACATCAGGATGAGGGTTCAATTCTGTTATATTTTCGGTTCTTGTTTTAATTTGTGTCCTAGCTGTTTTAATCTTCAACTAAACGCGACATGATTTCATTGGTTAAATCTTTCTCTGCGGGTACAAATGCTGTCCTCATTAAGTGCTGAATATCCGAGCCCTGGAGGGGAAAAAAGTACAGAGAAGGCCTGATTGACCAACCACAAGGCAGAACCGTCCGTCAGCCGCCAATTATATGCTGCGCCTCATCCGTCTTTGTCTCTGGTTGGCTGCTGATTTTCAAGGTAGCCCTTTCAAACGCACGAAGACAGATGATTGACTGAGCTCGGAGTGATCCAATATGTCTGTGCCCATGTACTGCATTACATTGGGCGCTGTTTTGCTAAGCGCCCACCATGTTTTCACAGCTGAATTGCTGGTACTAGACAGATGGATGTGCCAAGCATGAGGCTTGCACAATCCAAAATCTGGACTCTAATAATTAGTTTAAAGGAAATAATGCAAGCTCGATTAGCTCGCTTACCCTGACCTCGTTGTTCTTTAGCTGTACCGTAAAAAAAGTTTCTTTAAAATCTCATCGTCGATTGCCATCCCTTGAACTTGACGCTTATTCAGCCGATAGACGTGGAGTTGTTATGACTCGCATTGATTCACACTCGCTAATCCGGTCGCTCCAGCCTCCGACACCGGGTTCCCCTTTTCGCAGCATGTCGCTAGCCGCGCGGACACTCAACTCCCCCTCATTCACACGGATATTTATCTTGGATTATCCTCACACCTAGGTCTCGACGTTAGCACATGTATAACTCACACACCCGAGGTATAAATACACACGCGCAAATCCCACACACGACACGACGACACCAACGTGGTTGAGCTCTGAAGTAAATGGTTGTGTCCACGTTCTCTCAGGTGTTATTCTTCGTCGCGGGTGGTAGGATAGCGTAATCGGGCCAGATCTAACTTAGTGGCCCCGGCGTGGTTCAAGACCACATCCTGGGACCCGCAAGAGAGTCGTTCGACTAGCCAGTCAGAGTTACATTGTGCAAAATCGATAATCTACTTAATGAGCAATTAACTCGTGCCCAATGAACAGAGTTCGTGAGGTGTAAGTCGTGCGTGGTGTCACATGTGTTGGGCATTTAGGAAATGCCTCTCAATGCTTTTAAACCATCTTTATGCATAGATTGTGCTCCCAAAGGACAAATTGCAGCCTAAGTAATACAGGGTTTCTGTTAACACATTTCCGTCACTATTTGTCCCAAAAAAACGCTTTCTTTTAATTTGATTCTGTGTGAGCCTTATGATTGCCATAGGGAGAGTTTCAGTGGATTTTCCGACCAGCACAATTCGCCTAACAAGGTGTTTATTTCGCAAATAAGTGTAAACCATTCTTGTTTACTAGGCCTTTGTTCCACATTCTAAAGAGACCGCCACGGAGGGTCACTTGACAATTCAAACACACAGCACAACCCTTATAAACCATAAGGATTCGTTATTCGCGTTGTCAAAATAATAAACATCTATTAATTACATGCGTATGATAGGGTGAAGTAATTGGATTTCATTTTTGTGGAAAACGCATTCCAAAAAGTCCCTAAGACAGTAAATTAATGCGGTAAAGCAAAAAAACGGATCAGAATAATTCGGTTTTATGTGGGAGCTACTGATGTTGCGTGTTAAACAAACCCCAATTTGTCAAAGCATTGTGAAAATTTAAAACCTCTTTCCTTTGTAATTAATTGCTTGGAACTGCAACAAAAAAACTCCTTTTCCCATTTACAATCTATTTTGTAGAATCAGCCTCGTGGTATTTGTAAATCAACCTTTCCCTCTAGTTGAAGGCACAATGTATGACAATGAGGTTGCCAGGACCAGTCAACCAGTGGCTGTGCGTTCAACTCACTGCCACCACAAAGCAAACAAAACCGTCACTTACGGCAGCTACGAAAGTCACCAAATGGAGTGCATGAACGACCCCGCTGGATTCTCGGAGCCCGCGAGTCTGGAGGACGAAGAGGAAGATGGTCTCGCAATGATGGTTGGTCACATCAAGGACGCGCCCACACCACTGAACTCCGTTGTTGCGGATTCCCCATTTGCCAATATGTTGATCGGGGAGGGATTGGCGAATCAATCCAGCAAGTTCTCGCTCCACTCTCTTCTCCACGGCGCAGTAAGTCTCTATTGAACCGCTTGGATAAGACCCTCAAAAACGGGAGGCGTCATAGTAACTAATCTGGTGGTGGTGGTGGTGGTGGTGGTGGTGGTGGTGGTGGTGGTGGTGGTGGTGGTGGTGGTGGTGGTG